CGGGGCGGTCCCGCGGGGGGCTCGCCACACGAGGCGTTCCGCAGAACCGAACCGACCCGTCGCGGAATATGTTTCCGCGTTATCATTGGCGCGCATCGCTTTGGCGAAGAGTAACAGTGTGCGGACGAGCACTAAAGTAATAAAAGCAATAAAAAAATCATGGCAGCGGCTATGAGCTGACATGGGCGCGCGGCGGCAGGGCGGTTTACTCCCATCCGCACCACGTAATTCATAAGGACTAAGACAAGGCGCCCAGTATGAATATTTATGCCCCGAGTCGCCGGTTATGGTTGTAACTGTTTAAATATTTTATTTCGCAGTCATCTAATTGACTCCCGCGGTGTTGGACAAGGTGCGCGTAGTCGCCATCTTGGATTCGCGAACGGCGCGCGCAGCGGGTGGGTCAGCCGCCAGGCCGGCCGGGCGCCGCCGAGGGGAGGGGGGCAAGTATTTGAGCTGCCAAGTCCGTCTACAGGAGCGAGTGGGTCCGGATTAAGGCAAATAAGTAGAAGCAACTTTAATAAACGGAGTGCGAACAATAGCAGGGTAACAGATACGGCGAGGTATGAGAAATTAACAACCCGCCACAAACAGTGTGCGAGTTTGCCTGCCCGCTCCACTCGTAAGGCGCCATGGCCCCTAGAGTATATGCAAACCCGCAACACGTTGATGTCGTAGACCTGACACGCGGTATGGGCGTGGTTCTTCTACTCCAACTTCTAAAGGAGTTATCACGACTGCTTGTGCATAGTGATCTGGAGTCTGGAGTCACCCGTAACTCGGGCCACGCAGTCAACCCTCGCTCGGCCCATCCCCTACGGCCGGGTCGCAAGAAACTCAAACGAATTCAAGAGCGGTTCATACGAATGTTTCATAGCCGTTTCCCGCGCTCTAATCTACGGCCGGGGGAGCTCGGGGCTCTGGGCTGCGTCTGCCGGCCCCGGCCCGCCCCCCGCAAGCCCACCGCCCGGCCGGCAGTGCACCGCAGCAGAGCTAGCAGAGCGAGGCTCGCGAGTTACGATGTGCGTCGCAAATGTCCACACACTACATAGTACTGCAGCATCCGTATGCACCCCGCAGCACTGCGCCGCCCTCCCCCTCGGCCCGGCACTGGCAGCAAGGGTCGTTGCATGTCGCCTCGCTATTTTATTCCGTTTGCCCCCCCCCCCCTGCCCTCCGCCCCGCAGAGGTAGACAAGGAGGGGGGAGGGACCCTTTATTTGTTTCCGTGCGGAACCCTTTCAATTATTCGCTACGTGTTTCCCGATGTTAGACCGGCCCGACTCTCTCGACTCTCCTCCCCACGCTGCCTCCGATTCCTGCAGAACGTCGTCCTGAAGGGCACACGGGCGGCGACCCCGTCGTGACGCCTGCACCGCCCGGCGAGGCAGAGCATGTGCACCCGACAGGCCAGGCTCCCCCACTCACCAACTCGTCCTACACTTGCCCGCGCCCTACTCGCGCACAACTCGCGCTTGGCTCGCTACAACTTCCGAAAACTCGTTTCGGACACCTATATTTTGGAGGTGCGGCACCGTTCGGAGCACCGCCCCGCGCCCCGCAGAGCGTCCTCATCGCTGAAGCCCTTTGGATGAGGATGAGATGCCTGGGGGTAGGCAATAACACGCGCGTGTAGGCAACCGGCGCGCCACCGCCGCGCACGTCAGGCGAGCGTGCCGTCCATCATGTCGGCACCTGGCGGCCGCCCCGCCCGCCCCGCGCACGCGCGCCCCAACGTCTATCGGCCACTTTATGGTCTCCCCGCGGCCGGCCGCGCCTCCGCCCGTCGTCTCTGCAGCGCCCCGCCCCGCCCCGCCCCCGTCGCCGGGCTGCCCCTAAAGCACCGAATGCGCCCTGCATTATGCATCGCGGGGACGCCGGCCCGGCGGTAGCGGCCATGGCGGGGGGCCTATCCGAGGCCCCTCACCCAATTTCCAACCGCCCCCCACCTCACTACCCCCGCCTCACCATCCCCCGCCCCCCAGTCTGCACTCCACGCGAAGCTCTATTCTCTGCTCGTAACGCACGAACCTCCTGGAGCCAGCCGGGGTCCACGTGACGACGCACGACATCCCGGGCGCGTGCGCGCGTGCGCTGGGAGGGGGCTCCCTAACTGGGGCGGTAACAGCGAGGCTACAGCCGCACCAGGTCATCAGTGGCCTCCTGGCCTCGGCCTCCTGGTCCACCCATGTCAAGTCTGCTCAAACTGGCAGCAAGACTATTAGGATTTGTGCTCTTGATCCATACCGCTTCTTTCTAGTATCATGTCATGGCAACAATAAAAATAATTAGGCTTGGGCCCACCAATAGAAATTGCCTAGTTTCTAACACCAAAGGCTTTGTTAAAAAATATTTCAAAACTTTTTTGAGCTCGACATCTACTAAAGGTGTAATGGGTCCTTTGATGACAACAAGTGGTTTCTACCAACTTATTAAAATACAACGCTTCAAACAACTACTCACATCTCAAGAAGTAGTAGCTTCAATAATCATTGCTCGACTACCTTTCAATTAGTATGTACAAACACTCAAAGTAACCTCCCTATGTTTACAACCCTTTGCATAGGCCTATGGAAAACTTTTGAGGGAATGGAGTCCGCAATAATTGAAGCAAGCAAGTACAAGAAATTCGCAAGATAAAGATGTTACTGTTGAAAACTAACATCACAGTCACAGTACTCACCTATTGATTACAGGCGTTGTTGGTGGTGTGTTTGCTTCTAAACCTCTTCTCTGAAAGCATCTCCATGGCTTCCATCAAAAATCTTGCATAGTAGAAGTACGTAAAGTTGGTCACGCAGTCCATTGGTGACAAAAATCACTAATTATGTAAAACAATTCACGAAAACAAAAAACTGGCACTATGCCATCTTATTTGCATAAGAATATTAAACTGTCAATCGTTGCTCTGACGATATCAAAACAAGTATATGCACTATGAGGGTTATGTAACGTTTCAGAATATTGACTTTTACACTCAGGACACACAGTTCAGTTACAAAAACATGTACTACACTACACGGAAAGCAGTGCGCAACAATTAAAAGACAAAACGGAATGTCTCGAGGCCTCATTTGTATCACGAACGATGGGGCCACCAGGAATTCACGTCAGAAATCCCTCAAACCCGAAACAAAACAGCACATTAGCAGACAGCAGCTCCGCAGCCAAGCCTGCTAACCCACGACACAGTGCCAACCGGAGAAGTGAAAACCGTAGTGACGAGTCAGTTGACAGTCTTGCGTGCTCGCGTCGGAGTGCACGGGTCGCCCGCCGTGCAGTGTGTACCGTTTACGCCGCAAATGTCATTTCGCGATTGGTTGTTTATTTCTGGCATGTCACTAGTTCGTGCAATAGTGTTTCTTGGCACCGAAGCCTGATGAGTGATGAGTGACGAATTTCTGAGATCAATTTAGGATTAGGGGTTATGTTGTGATTGGTCTACCTACACACACGTCGAGGGAGCTGAGTCAGGTGAGAGTTGAATGTTCATACTGCTTTTGTGTCAGATAACTGGTGTAAGATTTGCAAAATGTATCGCCTAAATAACATTTTGGAGCAACTTGGATTTGTATGGAAAGGGGTTGAGCAGCATAGTTCAACCGTGTGGGTGGCGAAATGCTGAGTACAGCGAGCAAACCCTTTCTTGCCGCAAGACAAATTCGAAAGGGGGGAAAAGGAAAGGGGTAAAAAAAAAAAAAACAGGAAGGGGAGGGAAAAGCTAACTGCGCTGTACGGCACGCGGCGGACACAGTCGGGGACAGTCTGTGAGATGCCGCACGTGCGGATTTTCGATTCGGTGGGGGCGTGGGCGCCCCTGTCCTTGCCGGCGACGCCCGCCGTTTGTGTTTCTCTTTTCTGAGAGGGGACGGAAGGGGCGGGGTAGGGTCGATTTGATGGGATTGCACGGGGCAGTACGGAGGCTGTTTGGGGCTGCGCGGCGTAGCGCGGCGGCGGGGTCAAACTGTAAAGGATTTCATGGACTTGGCGTGGGTGGGGTGACCCCACTGGGGTGGTGGGCGCTCGCCCGGCCAGCTTCCCCTTCACCGCAGCAGCTTCCGCCTGATGTGAACGGCCTCGCCGTGCGTATAGGCAAAACGCACGTCACGCGTCCGCCACAAACTCGAGGGGGCTGTTCAAGCCGGCCGGCCGTGGCACCGCTGGCGACACTATTAGAAATGCGTGGACGAATCTCCCCCGAAGAATAAATATAGAGAGTGAGGAGAGGGGGGAGGGGGGGGACTTTTCCCTTTAGTAGAAACAGTCTTGGGGACTGTCTTAAAACAAAATACCGTTCGGGTTTCCTCTGTGGACAATGTTTGCGTTCGGGCGGCTAGTGTTGTGTTGCGGTCGCGCCCCTGCGAGCTCTGCCTAGGGCGCCGGCCGCTCTGCCATTCGGAGGACGCTGCCGTGCGATTGTCTCTAAGTGCATCAAACGATTCCTTTTTATTCGTTCCTCCGGCCCTCCTTGTCTGCGAGCTTGTTTGCTTTCCCTTCCCCGGCGCTCGTCTGCGTCGTGTGCTCGCCCAGGTCAGCGGCCGGGCCGCAGGCAGGGGATGGGCGGGCAGCTCGAGTCGAGATAGAAGGGCTGCTTTGGACGGCCCCGCTCGACGGGCTGCTGGTGCCGGGCCAGGCGCCGTCCTCCGGGGCCGCTCGCGCTGAGCTGAGCCCGCGCTGAGCTCGGGGTGAGAACTCACGCGCCGCACCTCTCTCCCCCAGTTATGAAATTTTTATGCGGTGGCAAGCAGCCTAAATGGTAAGAGTAGGGGGCTGCGCCGGGCTGCGGTGGCGCCAAGGGCTCAGCGCGCCGAGGAGAGTGGCGGGGCGGGGCGTTCAACCCGCCCAACCTGCACCCGCCCCACCGGCCGAGGTGGAGGTCGCAGGGAGGGGGAGGGGCGAGGTTAGGTCGCAATAGTCCAGCGCGGGAAACATTGACAGGGGCCGCCGTAAAAACGGGAGTAAAAAGGGAGCGGGCGAGTTCCAGGAGACAAAAGGGTCAGGGGGCGGGGGGACTGTGGGTCCCCAGGGAGTCACTCACTGGGGGTTGGAGGGTAAGGGGGGGGGGGTCGTCAGAAAATAGAGAAGGGGTGAAAGTCCCGGGCAGGACGGCGCGGCCCAGGCGTCGGCACGCCAAGGCTGCCGCTGTCCCTCGCCATCCCCAGCGACTGGAGAGGGTACGGCGAGAGGGGGGCGGCTCGGGCAGCCAGGCGTTGTATTGTAAAGCCTAATTCAAACCCCTCTTTTAATCTGCTATGTAATCGTTTCAGAAACAGTAATGCACGTTTGAACTTTGGGTCTATATCTAAATATACTTTTTAGTGTGTTGTTTCTGCGTGCTTTGTCGTGTGTTGTACCTTCCTGCTGCCCGGTTACTTCAAAGACAGATCTGTGGGTATTGGAATTGGATCGTTGGCGCCAGTGTCGACCACAGCCAGCCTTTCTCGCCGCGCGCCCCTGCTCCTTCTCCGCCAGTCCAGTTTCACGTGCCTTTGCTGGACAGGTCATACATCGACCTGCACAATTTAAAGCTCCCCGGGGATCATTGCAAATAACACACCTCGGCCACCAGAGCGCGAGCGAGAAAAGAGAGGGAGTGATTGAGACACGGGAAGGAAAAAAAAGCACGAGAGGGTGGCGGTGGGGAAGGGACAGCGGGCCGAAATATGGCCGCGTGGTCATAGTGGCTCGACCCGGGCGACCCTAGGCTGTGGGGAGGACATGTGTCCCGAGTGCGGTCGGCCTGTGTGTGCACGCGGACCCAGCCGGTCGGAAGAGGAGGCGAGGGTGCACCTGAGGGGAGTGGACGGTCCATCAGTATTGGGCTGGCGCGGGCGGGTCCAGGAGCGGGTCCAGGGGTGGGTGGAGGGGCAGGTCCAGGGGTGGGTTTTGGGCCGGGTCTAGGGCCGGGTCTAGGGCCAGGTCTAGGGCGGGTCCAAGGGTGAGTTCAAGGACTAGGGTTGGGTCTAGGGGTGGGTCTAAGAAGGCGAAGTCCAGGGGCGGGTCTAGGGGTAGGTCTAGAGGTGGGTCTAGGGCCGGGTCTAGGGCCGGGTCCAGGGCCAGGTCTAGGGAGGGTCCAAGGGCGAGTTCAAGGACTGGCCAGCGGCAGGTTCCCAAAAGCTGTCTACGGGGCGGGTCAAGCCTGTCCAGGAGGTTCCAGTCCAGAGGCTGTCCAGCCCAGGCGCTGTCCAGGGGCCAGTCCAGGGGCGGGTCCATGAGCTCTCCGTGGGCTCTCCGTGGGCTCTCCGTGGGCTCTCCGTGGGCTCTCCGTGGACTCTCCGTGGACTCTCCGTGGACTCTCCGTGGGCTCTCCGTGGACTCTCCGTGGGCTCTCCGTGGGCTGTCCGTAGGCTGTCCGTGGGCTGTCCATCCATGGGCTTTCCGTGGGCTGTCCTGGGTCTGTCCGGGGCCTGGCCCGACAAGGACAGCGTCAGCTGGACACCCGGGCGCAGCCGGGGTAATGAATGACGAGCCGGCCGGGGCTTTGAAGCGGCGACTGGTCACTGTCGGGTCACTGTCAGCAGAGGGCTGACTACACTGGCGGGGCGGAGGGATCGGCGGGGCGTATAGAACGGGGGTGTGCGGCGGCCGTCCCAGCGTTTGTCTGTGTCTGAAGGCTTAGTCTCAAACAAACCCCTATGAGGATGAGGCTTGTAATCCCACCAACCCTCT